GAGGGAGGGAAGGAGAGAGGGAGGGAGGGAAGGAGGGAGAGAGGTGTATTGAATACTAAAAAACAACCAACCAACAGAACCTCTGTTCCAATGGGTGTGATGACATGTGCCTGTAATCCAGGGCTTGAGAGGTTGAGGCAGGAGGATTATGAGTTCAAATTAGTAAGTCAATTAATCAATATGTAGACAAAACCAAAACCTGCCCCCACCCCCAAAGCAACTGCCCACCATTGAGATAAATCCTGTGTGTATGGAGAAGTTTACTTAGCCTGCCTGTCAGGAATGGATTTCTAAGGACTTCTATTATTAGTTTGGGGCACAGTGGTAAGAAATATTGAACTCTGAAACAGTCTTGTGTTACGAAAAAGAATTCTATAAAGGAAGCGCTGCTCTGCTGACTTTCCTATTATCAATGTAAAACTGGAACCTGTTCTCTCATCGGGGACCCCACTTTCAATAGCTGAACTGTTAGCTGTTTGGAGGTTGGAGGTATGTTGGCTGACACTGTGGAGCCAGGGTCTTGAGATCCAGTAGGAGCTGTGTCCCCACGTTCTGTCGACCCCATGTTCTGTGTCCCCATGCTGAGATGATGCAACCATCAGACACATACAAATAGACATGCTAACAAGGATGGGACAATATTCTGTGGCTTTGCTGTGCAGGTGTTTGTGGGGCCACAGTCTAAGAGGGATGGGTAAAAGATTCCTGCACGTCCCATCAGAAGCATCTGAAAGGACATGCTGGATTTGGATGTTGAGGAGAGAGAGCATTCCAAGCAGAAGACATGACAGCAGCCAAGGGAGGTTGAAAGGAACCCAGAATAATAAGAAGCCACTGAAAGAAGGATACTGCAGAACCTGTGGGTCCAGATGGGGTGATAGCAGGCAGGGTAAAGGCCAGTAGACAGGAGGTCATGCAGTCAGAAATCAGCCATGGAGCGTGGTCTTCCCTGTGATAAAATGGGGTGGAGGGCGTGGGCCCGTGAAGGAGGGCATCTTTTACAGCTGAGAGCTCTCTGTTGGAAAACAGTTAGGATGAATGGCTGTGGACACCACCACTGGTGGGGTCCAGGAAGAGAGCCCCGAGGGCTTCGTGGGGCTTCTCTTCTTACCCCCTTTTCACCGATACGGTAACTGTCCAGAAGGTTCCAGTTTGGGGGCTGTGAGGATGGCTTGGTGGATAAAGCGCTTGCATTCAAGTGTGAGGATCCAGAGTTCAGATCCCCAGCACCCACATACAAGCTGGGCTGGTGTGGTGGCCTACCTACAATGCCAGCACTTGGGAGGTGAAGATGGGACGATCTGGGCGAGCTGGTTAGCTAAACTAGCCAAATAAGTGAGCTCCGGCTTCAGGGAGAGACCCTGCCTCGGTGAAGGAAGTGAAGAGCAGTAGGAGACATTTGGCATTAAGTTCTGGCTTCCATGTGCACGGCTTCCATATACACATGTGCACGCACCTGAACATGTGTACTGCACATGTGGGGAAACAAAGGTCTAGCGCACTGCCCTGTCTACGTACACATCTGTAGTGAAACAGTGAAGAAAGGCGGTCAGGAAGCTGTGAGAGTCAGTACAGGGAGACCGTCCGGGTGTGTTCTTACCTGTTACACCCACAGCAGTCCATTTGACCTGCTTCAGGTATTGTTTCCTGTGTGCTCTTCCTGTCGTGGACATTTATAAATGTGATGGCATTGGAACCACTGGCCTTCTATACCTTAGTGTTCTTATTCTGTGACTTCCTTGCTAAGATGCATCCATGTTGGTGGATGTAGCTGGGCCACCTTCTTCTCAAGGCTCTAACACAACACTGTAGAAATGCTGCAAGGGGTGTTGGCTTTGTTTCTGCTTTTTGCTGTTATGAAGAGTGCTTCTGTAGACGTGTAGGTGCATATCGTGTGGCCTGAGTGCTAACATCTCCGAGACACTGGTTCTGAAGCTTTGGGTGTCAGGATCTATCTATATCTATCTATCTACCTATCTATCTATCTATCTGTCTGTCTGTCTATCTTTCTATCATCTATTTATCTTCTGTCTTTTTCTTTTATTGAAAATAGATTTTTTTCATATTCTCAGGATCTTTCTATGCTCCTTGGAAGTTAATGAAGGCCCCAAAGGCCTTTTGTGTATCGTCATGTATTAGAGATTAAAACAGAGAAATTACATATTTCTATTGCTAAAAATAATCTAACCCAGCATATGTTAATTATAAGCAGCATTTTTTTAATGAAAACATGGTGTTTTTCTAAAAGAGAGTGAGTAAAGTAAGTGATGTTTTGTATGTTTCTGCAAATCTCTAGTAGCTGGCTTCCTAGAGGACAACTAGATTCTCAGATCTTTTGGTGTATTTAATCTGTCACACCAGGTTAGTGAGGAAGATCTGCCATCGTACAGATGCCTTGTCACCTTTGCAGGGACTTGTGGGTATTCTTTCAACTACACCAAGATCTTGAAGGTTATTTGGAGTGTTGAGTCAAAACATTGCCATGAACTTTTCATGTCTACTACATTCAAATCTACTGAACTGTCTTATGTTTTGACTGGATTGTCATGCACATAATGTCAGTATTGGACATTTGGGGAATATTGACTCCCTGAGTTATATAGATCTATGAAATGTTGGTATATCTCATTGTAAATGTAAAAATTATTTATATCTGCAAGAATATTATCTGAAAAAGTCTTTAAGTATGGTATTGGGAATCTGTCAAGTTCATAGTGCAGTAAACAAGTTTTCCAAAACTTTAATGGTTGCTTGAAAGCATGAACCTTATCACAGACTAAAAACACTGTCAGCCTTTCCTTGAAGTATTAGCTTGACTTCATTCATTTCCAAGAAATAATCTGACAAAGGCCCATATCTGACTGACTGTAATTTGTCAGTTATCCTTTCAATTAAAGTAATACACCGTGAAAAAGGGGCTTGTTGGGCTCCTAAGCCAACAGTCATGCGTGTTCTTCTCCTCAGCATAGCCACGTACCGCAGCACTGCCAGAAAGACCCGTGATTGCACACAATGTTGTATCACCTGTAACATCCAAAAGATGTTTATTCCAAGATCAATTTTCAGGAAAATGAATAATTTTTACTCCTCTGCCAGGCGTTCTTAAGTGAAGCCAGCACAGGTTTTCGGGCTTTTTTGTTTGTTTGTTTTATTTTTTTGACAAGGTCTCACTAAGTTATGTGCTAAATGAACACACCTTTCTTCTGTAAACACAAATGTAGTATTGTTGGTCTGTGAGGATGTGCCATGCTATCCAGTGACTTCCAGGCTCCTCGTTAGAGGTGAATGCCACTGATTACCACCTGTCCAGCTTAGTTCTTTGTCGACTTGAAGAAAGCTAGAGTCATTTGAGAAGACGGAAACTTGTTTGAGAAAATGCCCCCTGTAGATTGACCTGCGGAGCATTTTCTTTTTTTTTTCTTTTTTCTTTTTGGTTTTTTGAGACAGGGTTTCTCTGTGTAGCTTTGCGCCTTTCCTGGAACTCACTCTGTAGCCCAGGCTGGCCTAGAACTCACAGAGATCTGCCTGACTCTGCCTCCCAAGTGCTGGGATTAAAGGCGTGTGCTACCACTGCCCGGTGCATTTTCTTGATTCATTAATGAAGATGTGGGTTGTATTGACTCTGGGAAGGTGGTCCTGGGTGATAGGTGATATAAAAGCAGACTGAGCAAGCCATGAGAAACAGTTCAGTAAACAGCACTCCTCCACGGCTTCTGCTTCAATTCCTGCCTCCAGATTCCTGCCTCAACTTCCCTCAGTGGACTCTGACTCAAGATATGGAAGCCAAATAAACCCTTTCCTCCCCAAGTTGCTTTTGGTTGTGTTGACACAGCAATAGTAACCCCAAGTCAGTCACCGGCCGCCCAGCTCGTTTGCCTCAGAGGCTTCATAGAAGAGATGGAACACATCTGGCTTGCTTTCTTCTCTTCCTTCCTGGGCTGTTGTCCTCACAGTTCAGACGCACCTCCCCCCGCCCTGTCTCATCCCCCCATCTCTTCACGCTGGTTATTGACTGGTCTGACTGACCCCACTTCCGTGACACCTCTTGACATCATCACGCTCCTCCTGCACTGCTGTTGTGTAGACTCTTATTTTTTCCCAGATAATTGAAATAGCTGCTCCCCCATGTATTTTTATTTACCCTCCATCTTTCCTTCTCCTCTCTCAGCGTTTACAGTCCATCCTTCACGCCGCTGCCATCTCAGGGAGGTGCTGAGCTCTTTCAGGCATCTGCATGAGAATGAAGTTTGAACTTCTAGACCCTGAAGATACGTTGTCTGAGCCCAGCAGCTCTGCCTTCTTATGTACCTGTTTCACGTATACTGAGTGATTGTTTCTGCATCCATACTGCATGCCACCTTCTCATAGTCATATTCTTTTCCCCGTTTATAGAGTGCCTGGGTGACTGCTTGGCCTGATAATGTCCTTCTTTGCCTCCAGATATCAGAGAGGCCCTTCTTGTTTTTCTCCTCCATAGTTACGGCTACTGAGCAGAATTAGGAAACTTTTTCCTTGGTTCACTTATTGTTGATTGCTTGTTATTGTCTTTAGTGACTGGACTTTTTTTGTTTGTTTTTTTCCGAGACAGAGTTTCTCTGTGTAGTTTTGGTGCCTGTCCTGGATCTCTCACTTTGTAGACCAGGCTGGCCTTGAACTCACAGAGATCTGCCTGGATCTGCCTCCTGAGTGCTGGGATTAAAGGTGTGTGCCACCGCTGCCCTGGTGTGACTGGACTTTTTATAAATGAACATGGATTGAGTGTTCATTTTTATACATATTTTTGTGTGTAATAGTTCCTGGTCTATAGCAGGTGGGTGATAAATAAATTAATGAAGGGAGGGGTTAAAAACCAGTTACAAAGTCAAAGAGATAGAAAATAATACTTGGAATTATTGAAAAAGAAAAAAGAAAGGAAGGGCAAGGATGGGAGGGAGCGAGAAGAGAGAGGAAGGAAGAGGGAGGGAGGGAGGGGGCGAGAAAGCGGGGGAGTAAAGAGTCACAAACAAACACAGGCGGTGTTTTGTAATGGTTTTTGAAGAACTTACTGTACACCTGGGCTGGGAAGGGGGTGATGAATAATGCCATGTATGTGCTCACGAATGTAGCCTAGAGATGCTTGGAGAAAGTTGTAGGCTTCCGGAGGAAACTGGGCCAGAAGAGCAGAGGCCATGGCCCCCACCGCTGTGGTTGGAAGCCTCCAGCACGACCTGACGTGTAGACCCCCCCTCCCACTATTGGCTGTTTCTGCCTTTCTGTCCCCAAACTGCCGGAGTTGTAAGAGTTTTCTGATGACTGGGCACATGTGGCATCTGGATTCTAGGGTTGCTAACAACCAGCAGTTTCCTGTCTGCTTTGGTTGAGATGACTGTGATACAGTGCGGGAGCAGTGTCCACTGCTCAGAGCACCACTGTCTAACACAGTGTACACTCGGGCCAGACGCCCGGGCCGGAAGGAAGAGGGAAACCATACAAGGACGAGGCTGGTGCCGGGTGCTTCACTTAGTCTCTCTGGTCCACCTTCGCAATGATCAACAAACTTCAGGTATTCGTTAGCTGTTCTACAGATAGAGGAGCAGCGTGCTGGATCACGTGGGTCAGAGGCACAGCAAGCTGATATTCGACTCAGAGTCTCTGGGTCCAGAACTCGTGCGGGTTCTTCTCAGTCACTCTTTTAAAGCTATGTAAAGCGTCTTGTAGTCTTACTTTTTACTAACTTGATCATCTCTTGAAGTTGTATATTTTATTCTATTTATTGTTTATTTATTTATTGGGAATCTGCAGTTGTCTGTTGAATGTTGGGGAATATTATTTTAAGGTGTGTTACTTTTGTTTATGTTGCATTTGTTTAACAGTGTGAAGCTGTGTTACTGCGCCTGTCTGAAACACCTGATGGTCTAATAAAGCGCTGAACAGCCAATAGCATGGCAGGAGAAAGGATAGGTGGGGCTGACAGGCAGAGAGAATATGTAGGAGAAATCTGGAAGGAGAAAAGAAAGTAGCCAGAGAAGGAGGAGGACATCAGGGGCCAGCCACCCAGCTGCACAGCCAGCCACAGAGTAAGAAAGAAAAGTATACAAGAAGAGAAAAGGAAAAGCCCAGAGGCAAAAGATAGATGGGATAATTTAAAGTTAAGGAAAGCTGTAGCTAGAGTTTTCCTGCCTGGCCCACAGTCAGGACAAATCTCTCTCACCTGCCAGTCCCACAGCCGTTCAAACCCGACCAAGTAAACACAGAGACTTATATTGGTTACAAACTGTATGGCCGTGGCAGGCTTCTTGCTAACTGTTCTTACTGTTCTTACAGCTTAAATTAATCCATTTCCATTAATCTATACCTTGCCACGTGGCTCGTGGCTTACCAGCATCTTCACATGCTGTTCCTCATCGTGGCGGCTGGCAGTGTCTCTCTGACTCAGCCTTCCACTTCCCAGCTTTATTCTCCTCCTTGTCCCGCCTACACTTCCTGCCTAGCCAATGGCCAATCAGTGTTTTATTTATTGACTAATTAGCAACACATTTGCCATACAGAACATCCCACAGCAGAAAGCTGGCTAGAAACAAGCCAAGCTAAGGCCGGGCATTTATAATTAAGTATAAGTCTCCATGTGTGATTTATTTGGGAGCTGGTGGCAGCCCCCAAAAGAGTGAAAAAAAATCCAACAAGAGTTGGATGTTATTCATTCTGCTGTGGCATTTTCTTGTTCTTAACTATAGAACCACTGTGGATGGAGAGGGACTCAGGCCACCTTCACCCTCTGAGCCATCTCTGGCCTGGTGTTTGTAGTTTTAAAAGTTTATTTAGGGTTGGGAATGTAGCTTAGTTGGTAGAATGCTTGGATGCATGTCCCAGAACATAAAACAGCATGCTTTTAAACCCAGCACTCAGGAGGGGGAGGCAGGAGGACCCGAAGTTCAAGGTCATCCTTGGCTACATATTGATGCCAGCTTGGGCTGTGTGGGACCGTCTCAGGGGGGAAGTTGTTTTTCTTTTTTAAATTTTTTTTATATAACCATCACTAACAACAACAACAAATGGAATGTAAGAGGGTGTCTACTCCTGAAAGCCTCTAGTAGGCTTATGTCAATCTTAATGCATAAAACTCAAAACAGAAAACAAACAGTAACTCTCAGTAACTACAACATACATATTGAAAACCAAGCTTGATCAGGTGGATATATTCATGTCAGAAGACCTTTTCAGTTCATATCTCCCCACAGAGCATCTTCCCATTGCCCAATGCATTTCCAGCCTCCTTTTCAAGTATCAGTTATTCATAGAGGATAAGCTGGCCAACCAGAATCAGGCACAGTACCTGGCCAGTGCAGCTGGAAGACTGCAGACAGTTCTAAGCTCTGCGAGACAAAAAAAGATGAGGCGTGCTTATCCACATACAATACAAAGGTATTTTATAGATTCTCCAAAGGTGATGAAGAGAAGAAATTGATGTGAGCATAATGTCAATGGTCACCATGTGGCTGTGCATACACACACCAGAGGAATGTTCCAGTTGTTTCTGTAACATCTGTGCTGTGGTTGAAGCTTATCTACAGCCTCAGTAGAGCTCACCCCCGATCTTGGGTTCCCCTGGGTACATTTCCAGGAGTATTGGGCTTACGTCCCCCCGGAGCACCATTGCCAGTGCCAGTGAACTTGAGAACAGTGCCAGCTTTCCCTCAGGTGGCAGATACAGCAGAGCTGTCTCAGTGAAAACCCTAAATGGCAGCTCTGAGGGAGACCAGAGAAGACAGGGGTCACACCCAGGAATCTTCTTAATTTTTTAAAATTTTTTATTTTTGTATTTTTTGAAACAAGATCTCATTATGTAGCCCTAGCTGTCCTGGAGCTTACTATATAGACTAGGATGGACTTGAACTCACAGAGATCCATCTGCTTCAAGATGTGGACCACTATACTCAGCATCCCCAGAATTCTTAAGAGGACAGAGTAGATAAAGCAGTTGGACCTAGAAGTTTTTGCACAGCTGCAGGACACGCTGGCCCTTGGAATCACCTTAGCTTGTTGGCTGGTTGTAGTTTTTGTTGATTTTCATGGGCTTTTGGCCTTTCATCCTTGACTCCGTATGTGTGTGCCAGGAGGTGAGTGGGGAAAATAAAAGCAGAGCACGAGTTAAGAACACATTTGATTGCTTGATAGCAGCCCTGGCTGTGAGCCTGGCTGGGGTAAAGGTTAAAATTGTTGGCCTACCTCATAGCCTCGAGTTAAGTTTGCATTAGGTGTCCTTGGGATCTGCTGTCTGGTGTCATGGATTTTTGTGCCCAACCAGTGAAGATATTTTCCCATAATCAATGGTACACATATCTTTTGGGCTGGTGTGTGTGGTAGGCTGTCTCCTCTGAATCTTTTGTCTGTGTCTTATGTCTGTCATATTTTTAAATGCAAAGTACAGAGCAGTCTCATCTTCTCTCTCTCTCTCTCTCATGCTTATCTCCCACGACTCTTTCCCCTTTGGGTGCATATATATTTTTTGGAAATAAAGGTGTATAGTGTGCTGTTTCCCTTACCAGACTGAAGGACTTGGGGTGTGGTCCCTGGTGAAGTGTGTCAGGTCCCTGCTGTTGGGACACATCCCACAAATAGCTCGATCATTTTATGCCTAAGCTAAGATTTCAGTGCTTAGCCATCTATGTATGGGATGCTATTTCTGAGGCTATGGCGTGCGTGATTGTGTTATTAGGGTCTTTTTTCCTGGTTAAGTTCCTTTTTGATCTATTAGGGATTTCCTTGTGATTTCAGTCATTTTGTGATTTATTGTTCATCTTATAACAGGTATTGGTAATATTAGGATGAAAACATTTATACAAGAGGAAATAAAAGTCAAGGGAGCAGGTAATTGACCGATTTATCAGCCTTAGCAGACAATGTTTCTGATAACGACATGGTAGCCATGGTAAATTTATTTCTGATTGCTTGAGGGGACAGATTTTATATGTTTTTGTACCATCGAGGTGCGTGAGAGGGTAAAGGAGCTAGCGGTCTATCTGTGGACTAACCGGGACAGCTTGGTTTCTGGACTGGCCTTTTGGTGAGTGGATTCACACAGTGTTTTAAACTGTCCCTCAGGTATGGGTTTGCTACAGCACACGCAGGCTGAGTTTACTTTCTATTGTTGCTGGTTGACGCTTACTAGGTAACAAGAGGCTTCACAGGGGAATGACTTTTTCTAAATCTTTCACTTCAGTGATACTTGGAATTAGACTTAAAAAAACAACTGTTAATCTGTTTCTATCACTGACTCTCTGGCCTCACTGGGGTGGTTGTGGACAGATGACCGCCTTAGCAGAGATGACACTACCGAGCAGGAGGGGTAGTTTTAGTTGTCAACTTGACACAACCTAAGATCACTTGGAAAGGGGTCTCAGAGGAAATGTCTAGATTAGGTTCGTCTATGGCCATGCCCCGGAAGGATTTTCTTGCTTGGGTTAATGAGGGTGAGGACCCCACCTGACTGTGGGTGGCACCGTTGCATGGGCTGGACCCTGAGCTGAAGGACAGAGGAGGAGCTGAGCACCAGCAAGCATGCACAGGGCCTTGACTGTGGGTGTTGTGTGACAGCTGTTCCTGCCACCTTGACCTTCCCACAGTGATGGACTGTCACCTGGAATTGAGGCAGATCAACATTTTCTTCCATGAGTTGCTCTTCTCAGGGGATTTTATCACAACAGAAAGTAAAACTGAGACACTGAGGTTACAGATTAGAATTCAGATGTGAAAAACCCATAGCAACATCCGTTTTACTTGTGTGAGTTTTATTTGCATGTATGTATGTACACCATATGTGTGCCTGGTGCTAGCACATTATATCTTGAGCTGAAGTTACAGACGGTTGTGAGCTGCCATGTAGATGTTGGAAACTGAGCTCGGGACCTCTGGAAGAGCAGCAAGTGCTATTTATTAACTGCTGAGCCATCTCTCCAGCACCCAAAGAAACACCCTGAGTGTGTCAGTTTTCTGGGGCTGCCATAACAGTTTCATAAACTGGTGGCTTAACTTTAAACTTAAAAAGAAAATATATTTGTTTGTGTATGTTTGTTTGTTTGTATAGTCATGAACACATATATGCCATGGCATGGGTGTAGAGGTCAGGACAACTTTTAGTCCTTCTTTCTCTCCTTCCACCCTGTGGGTCTGGGGATCAAACTCAGACCGCCAGCTTGGCAGCAGACGCCTTTACCCGCTGAGCCATCTCACTGTCTCAGACTAGTGTTTTAAACAGCAAAAGGAACCGATCGTCTTCCACTTCTGGAAGTCGGACACTCATGGTCAGGGAGTCAGTGGGGCTGTGTGCATTCGGAAGGCCATCGGAAAGCTGCCTCAGGATTCTCTTGTAGTTTCCAGGAGCTCTGTGGCTTGTGTGAGCGTATGTACAGCCTTTAAGTGGTGTCTCCCCGAGCACACATTAGGGACCTCAGTCATCTTGGATCTGAGAGTCACCCTAATGACTTTACCTTAACTTGATCATGTGAAAAGCTCTGTTTACAGGTCACATTCGTGTGCACGGGGTTGCTTAGCATCTTAACATCTTTTGAACAGTTTAGCCTGTGACATGAGGTATTTATTCCTAGTTTGCACACTGTTTAATTTTTTAATTACAATTTATTTGTTTGTTTGTTTGTTTTTCCAGACAGGGTTTCTCTGTGTAGCACCCTGGCTGGCTGGGGACTCACTCTGTAGGTCAGGCTGACCTCGAACTCCAAATGCTGTGATTAAAGGTGTGAGCCCAGTAACAAGAATTTATTTATGGTGCATATGTTGTGCGTGTGTGGTAGGGTATAAGTGTTCCTTGGCATGTCTGTAGAAGTCAGAGGACAACTTTTCAGAGTTGATTTTCCCTTCTACTGTGTAGGTCCCCAGGATCAAAACTCGAGACTCAGTGGTTCAGTTTCCTGCTGTGTCATTATACTAGCCCTGTACACAGTTTCAGTGAGTCTTGTGATTGTCACCTGCTTAGCAAAGAAAATGACTACGAATTTGGAAGAAGGGGCCTCAGCCTCGGATGCAGTGGAGACCCCAAGTCTTCAAAAGGGCTATTAAAATAAGAGTCCACAGGAGGGGACTGGGGAGGTGGTTCAGTGGGCAGCTCAGTGGTGCATGCTTGTGTGGTGCGTGCTTGTGTGGTGTGTGCGTATGGCCCTAGTGCTGGCGTGGGGGGGCAGATACAGAAGGATCTCTAGAATGCCAAAGCACTGAGCCCCAGATTTGGTAAGAGACATCCTGCCTTGAAAAGGAGGTGGACAGTGAGGGAGGAAGATGCCCCTTGCCATGATCTGCCTTCCACACCTGCGTGCATGGGTGTGTGAGCAGACATGCACATATATCCACCTGCAGCCTCCACAAATCCACAGGTGCTTGAAGCTGATTGATTAATATGAGTGCAAGACACTGACAATCTAAGTAGCTTGTGGGACACAGATCTGTGTATTAGAAACACAAGAAGGATCTCAACCTGTTAATGTTTTTGTTTGTCACGTACACATTCTAAAATCCTGCCAAATGAAATGTAAAAAAAAAAAATATTGTGTGTTTGATGAGCTTTGGTCTTTTGGTAAATTTTGTATTTTTTTTTATCTTTTGGTAATTTTTCATTACTTGAAAAAATGTATTTTTGTCACAGTGCTCCTGAGATTTTGTTTTTGAACTTGGCTTTGTCACTTAGTAAGAGTGAATGTGTGAGCTATTAAGGTTTTGGAAACTTGGTTGCCCATGAAAATTTGCTGACAAACATCAGATGTTTACCATGGTAGCAGGCATATCTTCAGGGCTCCATTCATTCATTCAGTTGATCTTTATTGGGAGTCTGCCGTGTGCCAGGGCTTGTTCTAGAACTCACTCACTCACTTAAAAGTAACGTAAAGGCACCATGATACTGTAATATGACGAGTTTGGTGGGGACCCAGAGCTCCTGTCTTGCCTTGGTTAGTCAGCTGTGGGGTCTTGGGCACAGCATTGGCTGTCTTTGGGTCTTGCCATTAGAACTGGATTTCCAAAATGATAAAACAAAATTTGAATTCACAGATTGTTCTGCAGTTCTGTTGGGCAGGGCTGGAAGCTTCTCTGTGCTCACAGGATTGGCGACTGTCTGCTTTCTGGCTGAGAACAGCAGTGGTAATGAATCCACCACCTTCACTGAGCCCACAACACTCTGAGGGGGGTTTTCCTATGTTCTTTGTTGCTATTGTCTTGTTTTTGAGATGGGTTTTGTGCAGCAGGCTGGCCTGGATCTCTATCTGCTCTTGCCTCTAATCACTGGTATCACAAGCGTCTATACCACCATGTCCCACATTTCCTGTGTTCTTGTTTCTCCAAGCAGGTGGGTGTCCACAGACACATGTGGCAACTTGAGAACAAGTTTTCTTTGGTAGTTTGTGGGAAACACCCAGTATTATTAAGTAAGGAGACAGAGTGCTGTCTAGGAGGCAGAATTCATAGAAATGACAACTGAAGACATAAAGACATTTGGAGTTTCCAGGAGGCAATTCTGAGTCAGTCCTGGGACCTCCTGGGGTGGGGGTGGGGCAGCTGCCTTCGCTTCTCTGGGAAGGAAAGTTTGTTCTATGTTTGAGATTCTAATTTTGAAAATGGTTTTAATTTCTGTTATTGACAGGTCCCACCTCTCTGATCTTAAGGCCCGTTCTTCCTCTGCATTGCCGCTCTGAGGAGTATTAATTGAGGGCCTGCCTTGTGCTTTGTGCTGTTCCAAGAGATAGGGCCACAGCCACAGATGGAGCAAAGATCTGCCTTCCTCACTGCCGATTGACGGGTTACCTGAAGACAGAGGGCATTAGCCACATGGGTATTTGGGAGAGAGAGGTCAAAGGTCTCGTGGCAGAGCTTACATCCTTCGTCTGAGTGAGTGGTTGGAAATGATCTCACAGATATGCAGGTCATATAGGGCTTCAAGGTCTGGGAGTGTACCCTGAGGAACGCAAGAAGCCATGGAGACCTTGAGGGTAGAATGCTGGGATGTGACATATCCTTGAAAGCTTTAGTCTGCCTGCTAGTTGAGACTCACAACCAGAACAAAAGTGCTTCTGTGGCCCCAGCGAGGAGTGGCGGTGATGTTCAGTGAGGTGGTTTGGCAGAAACGGAAAGACTGCCGGGATACAGCTGCGTGTGGAAGACAGAACCAACAGAGCCTGTGAGTGAGTGAGGTGTGTGGTGTGAGCAGTGAAAGGCAGCAGGAAGGTTTGTGGGGCCTCTGAGCCATTGTGTGGGAGAGACGGAGAGGTGGCCGTTTATGCTGAGTTGGGCATTTTGATGGAGGAGCTGTCTGGTTCCTCGGCTATTGAACGATGTGCCCAGGCCCTTTATCTGAGAATGTTGAAGCTGGCTTACTAACTGGATTGGAATTCCTTCCAAAGACAAGGCGTGATGTGTTCATCATCATTACCTCTTTCCACCAAGGGAATTTACATCATACTTCACAGGCAGTGCTGTGGGTACTTACGGGTGTGGCCCAGGATCCTCTGCAGTCTCAGGTGTGGGCTCTTCTTCCAGGTTGCCTCTCAGCTGAACTGGTGACAGGAATCTGGTTGTCTCTCCCACCTGGGCAGATTTTAGTTTTCCTCTTGGCCTGGCTGACAGCTGTCGGGTGCCCTTGGCACCTGCAATCCCCGAGCTTTGTCCTGGGAACTGGTGGGGGCTCTATCACAGAAAACTCCAAGGCCGGAAACCTCCAAGGGTCCCTCCTTTCAGGCCAGCTTGGTGTGGGGGAATATCCTGAGGCTTTCAGGCCACAAAGGGATAGTTTAGACTTTGGCAGACAAAGCCAGCCCAACTGCAGATGTGTTTTGTGTTCACATCATAAAACTGGTGGAGAGCAGCTCTGGATGCTGCAGAAGAAACTTATTAACCGGCATGGAGTGGCTGGGTGGCTTTTGTCTTCTTGGCACCTCTTCCCTGGCCTTTCTTCTGTGACCCACATTGAGCCCACTAGATCCCGCCCTCTGGCTTCAGTGATAGGCCTAGGGAGAAGAGATGACCGCCAGCAGGCCAATCAGAGAGAGAAAGACCTTTTACTAGTGGATCCTTAGAGTGAAAATCCAGACAGCCTGCAGCCAGGTTTTTAGCCTCTTGGGGAAAGTGTCCCGAGAAGAAGCATGTAAAGACTATTGAGAACTCGCTCTGATGGTGCTTGCAAAAACCTACCAGACCCATTGTGGCCCTGCTGTGCGCGGTACAATCCTCCATGTGAAAAGGGCTCTTGCTCTGTCGTCCTGCTACCTGATTGTGGTTCACCACCACCAGAGCAGCTAACTTCTACCATCTGTCATCTAGTGGTGAGGTGTCTTAAGCTAGTGGCCGTGAGGTGATCAGTGGTGCCGCCTACCTTTGGATCAGTAGGTAGTATAGTTTTCAAATGGGAAGAATGCAGACTCTAGACATTTTCTCCCCTTCAAGTTCATCTGTCCAACACATACAACAACCTGCGAATTAGCCTTCTTCACAAAAGAGATGAATTTAGTTTGGTTGTTTGCAGAGGCACAGGCCTGTATGTGGAAGATTTCCCAACATCTGGTACAATTTCCAAAGCTGCCTATACCATTGAAACAACTGCTCCCTGTTACCACGCCACAGTGTTCGAGGGCTCCCAGTGTTGGTGGCAGCCTGTGACTTGAATACCTGTGCAGTCCTTGCTCTGCTGTGCTCTACAAACTAACTGTAGGGCTCAACTTTGGGGCATGAATTCTGAGACCATTCCCTAATATCTTTGTTGGGTTAAATCACTCTAGGGGTCTGCTGTTTGTAGAGTGCCCCCAGATCTTAGCCTGCATGAGTCCCGGTTACATCCTCAGCACCAAAAACTGGAGTGACAAACATCTGTAATCCCAGTGCCTGAACAGTGGAGGCAGGAGGAGGACATTCTTGGCTACACCTCAAGTGTTCTACTTTCACTTCTGTGATAATACCTGACCAAAACCAGCTCATGATCCCAGGTCACAGTCCATCACTGCAGGGATGTCACAGTGCAGGAGCTTGAAGCGGCTGTCAGTCACATTCACAGTCAAGATCAGAGAGAATGAATTAAGACACTCATGCTTACTTGCTTTCAGCGTGGCTCACATACAGTTCTGACCTCTTGCCTAGGGAATGGTGTTGCTCATAGTGAGTTGGTTCTCCCGTATCAATTAACTTGATTAAAACAAGCCCCATGGACATGCCCACAGACCAATTTGTGTAGACAAACTCTGAGAGTCTCTTCACAGGCGATGCATTGAGACTCCCTTCACAGGCAATTCTAGGTTGTGTCTAGTGGACAAGTAAATCTAACCACAGTGAATCTGAGGTCAGCCTGGAATATCCTAGAGCCTGTCTCAGACAAACAAACAAACACCAAATAAAAACTCCCAACTATCAGCATTTAGCATTGGTTTTGCCAATAGCTTTTGTAGTACAGATCCTTCGACTTTACACATCGCTTTTGTATAATGTTTCATGTAGAAACTGGCTGTTTGATTTGCAGCAAGTATTACAGGTCCAGTTGATAATGGTAACAGAGACAGGCAACCTTGAAAGGCAGGTCTAGATATTTACCTCAGATGTGTATTAAGTAGGGAGGGACTTGGATGATCTTTATAGGGAAATGAGCTATTTGGTAACAGGTGAACATACCTGTGGAGGGGTTAAGAGACCTTCACTATTGACCCAAATCAACCTCTAATAGCCCTAAGAGGCTGGCGGATCCGTGTGTGTATCACTGGTAGGAATGGTATGTAGGTAGCTTGAGAAACGAGGCTCACAGGTTTCACCCTAACTCAAAAGTCTGGAAATTAATAGGCATTTTGTATATATTGTTTGTCCATCTGCTCCCCATCTTTCTAAATGAGGATGTCCTGAGTTGAATGTCAGCCCAATTAAATGCATCTAATGAAAACTTTCCAACTTGGAGAAGGTGAGGTGCAGAGGCATTCTCTTCGGAGAGAGCAGAAGAGTCTGGATATCAGCTTACCCGATTGCTGCTCAAGAACTAAATTATAAATAACTGTGCTGGGTGGTGGGAGTTTGTTTTGTGCTACTCAAAGAAGAAATATTCACAATGTAGAAACAGAAATGTATTCGATGCATTTTTCACTTGGTAATTGCATTATTTTTATTCTTAATTCTCTGACTTTCTGATTTTTCATAGCACTCAATGTGAAAATGGATGGGAGCCCACAGACAAAATAATGAATTCTTTAACATGCTCGCACACACACATGCACATGCACACTCATGTGTACTCGCACACACACATGCACATGCACACTCATGTGTACCCCCATACTGTTGTGTAAAACTGGCAAGAAACAGTGCAAACCTGACAGTCTAGACAGAGATTGTTGGAGGAATAACAATGCAAACAACTCCTTTTTTTTTCTTTAGAGGTTAAAAATAATGTGTTTACTAGAGTTATTTGCATTGGCCATTTAGAGGCTTCCCCAGGATGCCTTGGTTAAGAAAGCTGTGAAAGCCGCAGGAAGCCTTGCCAGGACCTTGTGCTGCTCTGCGATTTCCTAGGCTGATTTCATGCTGGTTGATGGACAAGAAGATGGAGGTGTCTTGCTGCCGGGGCTTCTCGGGTTCCAAGAAGGGAAAGTCAGGAATTGCATGTCCTGCACTTGGCGGCATCCGGCGGGTCCTCTTCTAAACTCACAGTGGCACAGTGTGACGTGCCTACCGGTGGGATTCTTTCCTCGTGATGCACAGGGACAGCAGCTGCCTGTAGCTGGACCAGTACAGTCTCCATGAAACCTTGCTTCACAGTACTCAATGTGAAAATAGAGGGGAACCCACAGACATAATAGTAGATACTAATGGATAATTTACATTTGTGGGGAACCCCCCCAGTATTACAGACAGAAAGTGCACTTTGGTCTTCCTCAACCTCTTTACCTTACTTGTCTGAACTTACTTTTCTAAAGGCCTCCTGTACTTTTGATTTGATCTCAGGGACATCAGCATAATTTTAGCTGTGTTTCTTCTCAACTGTCTGCTCTTTCTCTTTTGGGGGAATGTGTTTAAATTCTCTGGTTGGTTGAAGAGTCCAGACTTCAGAAACGTCACCATCAGGGAGGGGATTGTGTGGTTGTGTGCTCAGAGTTCTCTGGGGGAGCAGAACCAACAGGATGGTTGTGTATCACAAGGGTAACTCGTTAGACTGCCTTACATGATGCTTCTGGGTAGTTTAGCAATGGCTGTCTTCATGCTGAAGAGGCTGAGGATCCAGTAGCTGATCAAGTGCACGAGGCTGGATACCTCCACAGTCCCAGTGTGGCACTGAAGTCCTGGAGGATGCTGGGCGCATGGAGTATCATGGGTCTGTGGTCCAGACTAACAGGCCGAAGAAGCTAAGGTGCATCGCCAGTCAACAATGGCAGCAGCAGTAACAAGGCTAATTCAGTCATTAGCAAGGGTGAAGGCAGGCAGCAAAATCAGCCCCGCTTCCCCTCAGACCTCAGGTCCCCTAAATGCCAGTGTGTTTCTCAAGCCTCCAACCCTCCATCCTTAGCAGATGCAATCACGGAGATCCATGTTCCTCTGAACTATCCAAAAACTGGGATACACAGTTTGTATTAATCACTGTGAGGGGTAATCTTTGTCATTAATTTGGTTGATTCTGGAATTAATTAAGGAGATACACCTCTGAGGGGAGTCTGGGGGGATATTTCCTGGAAGAACTGACTGACAAGAAAGGGGGTAGCAAAGGGTCCTCTACCCAGCACGATCACCTCCAAATAGGGGCCCCTTGCTGATTTCTGATTCAAGCAATGAAAAGGTGCCGGGGGTGTCAGGGAAGGCAGCCAACTTCTCAGAACGTCTTGCGGAGCCATTCGGGAGGCCCCTGGGCAGGCTCCTTGGTTAGCAGAGAAAGAAGCCCTGGGCCAGGTGTCCAGACATCTGGGTCCTTGGTTCTGCTGTCAGCAGTAGGAAGGAAGCCGTATGGAGTTGAGGTGACTGGTTAGCGTATTTCATCATCTCAGTAAAATGACGAGATTGGACACCGTCTGTAACCTTTCAGGGTCTCAAAATCCTCATTTCATAGATCTTCTTAGTTGACTCTTTTTTTTTTTTCGAGACAGGGTTTCTCTGTGTAGCTTTGCGCCTTTCCTGGAACTCACTCTGTAGCCCAGGCTGGCCTTGAACTCACAGAGATCCACCTGGCCCTGCCTCCCGAGTGCTGGGATTAAAGGCGTGCGCCACCATCGTCTGGCCTTAGTTGACTCTTAATGCATTGGCTTAGGACCAGTCTTGACTATCTAGTGCTCCACAAGTATGAGAATAGAACCCCAGAGCACTTTATTTTGGATCATGCATTTTTTCTGTTCACTTATGTAATATGCATATGTACATGTATCATGTAATATGTATAATGACCAAAGAAGAGTCAGCTGATTTTTACTGTAATGATTCTTACATTTTTCTACTTTTCGACCTTTTCTACTGTTTATGGTAGAGCTCCCATGTGATTTTTTTTTTTAAGGGTGAGGTATTTAATCTAAAATCAAGGCAGGTCATTTGCAAAAGACACATAAAGTTAGCCTCATTGTTGGGGTTGATGCTGACTGCTCAAGGTTTGGTAAAGAGCACCCCGACTCCTGGAAGCCTGGGGAAATGAGAGTTTCAGGGCAGACAGAAACCATAGAAATCAACTGAGAAAAGACAAATCTGGCCAATGGCGGGGAACCAGACCGGTTTCAACTGAGGAAATTCAGTTTTAGCAAATTTTTTTAAAGCAAATTTCATTGGATGTTTTACATTTTCTTGATAAATTTATAAAGGACCTGGGGAAGGAGTTGCAGAGCTTTCCCCTAGTAAGAGAATTGGTCATTTGTGGCAGCTCCTCTCTGAACACATGGGCGGCTCAGTGTGTTTGCTTGTACTTCCTTGTGTGGTTCCAATTCTGAAAACAAACAGCGTGCGTGTGCGAGGGTGTCAGAGGTAAGCAAGCACAGTCTCCAAACACTGGCGGAACTCTGCTGGGGACCAGGCACCCTGCTAGGCTCAAAGTGGGGTGTTAGGTGAGGGAACACAGTCCTGCCCCAAAAGAGCACCCTTTTAAAGGGGAAGCTATTTAGTGTCAACAGACACTAAAATACCGTGGAATCTGAGCGCCAGCTGTCACCTGAAGGGAACCACTTGACCCCGCCCTGTGCTCCAGTCCCTGAGGCGGGCTGCTTCACTCGTAACATCTGCAGCTCTTTCCCACGAGGCAGCCAGAGTGATCAGCCCTGTGAGGCCTGCACCCCCGCCCTCCAGGGGCTTCCAGTTTTGCTAGCTTCTCAAGTGTGCAGCACGTTACTGATCTGCATATGACATCCTCACTCATTTGCAAACGTCCTCGCAAGCAGACACTGCCCCTTGGAGCTTCCATCTCGGCTGCACACCCCAGCACGCATGCTCCGTGCTGGCCCCTCAGAAGCCAGTATCTTCGGAAGCTTCGGTGAAGAACGTTATGTTGCAGAGTCACAGGGCTTCTTCCCTCTGCGTGCTGGGATCGCTCTCCTCCCCGTCTCTTTTATGTCTTTGCTCAAAGGTTACCATCTCAGTGAGGGACTCTGTGACCTTGTCTAAAATTGCAACTTCCCTCCTATCAATGGCCTGTGATCCTCCTTGTCATATTCTAAGATTTCCCCATTGCATTTCCCACCCTCCTGCCCACAGCACCATCTACAAAGAGAAAGCTTCAAGGAGGCAGGGTCATTATTTTGTTATTTGTTGTTCAATTTAGTACAATCTAGAATACTGTCCGGCACACGCTAAGCACGCTGTAATTATTTGTTGAGGGAGTAAGTAGGAAGGAGGGACTAATTCTGTGGGACAGTTGGGAGGAAAGAACCTTTGGAGCTCGGCTTGGAGGATGATGGGTAGACTTTGACCACGTGTTTTTCTGGGAAAGGGCCTTCCAGACAGACGGATGCCACAAAGGTGAAAACATGGTGGTACTCACTAGCACTCGTGGAATGTGAAGTTCCACCTGATCGGTGTGTGTGGGAGGACCACAGCGGTGGTGGATCAGTGTGTGAATGGAGAGGAAGTAGCTCCTGAGAACTCAGGGTGGCTTAAAGGAACAGGTTCCTAGTCACTAACTACCCTTAAGTCACGGCAGGAAAGCGGATGGTAGAAGTCAGAGCACTGGGACACGAGTGACATCAGAACCCGGCGCTCTCAAGAAGTCACTAATGCAAACAGAATTTGCTAATAAGATCTGACTTTTATGGAGCACTTTTCTGTTTTCAAAACATGGTCACATGCTTATTGGAACTTAAGCGTAACAACTGGCCGAGAGAGTGTGGCAGGTAGTGTTTACATGTTCAGAGGAGTCTTATGAAAAACTGAATTGCATCTTATACTGGAGGAAATGGAGCCTCAAACCACCTAGGTGATCTCCCTGAGGTCACTGGGCTAAGACGAGGGTGCAGGGTTGGGGTAGGAGGTGGGGGGACTGGAGGTGGGGGGCAGCTTCCTGGCCCTGCAGGCTGCTCTCCAGTGCCGACACCATCCAGAGGGTAACTGCTTGGTGCTTGGAAGCCTTTGGTCTTGTCGTCCCCAGTCATGGAAAGCAGTGGGGTTTTCATCTAGCCACTTCTTCGCTGGTTGTGTTTTCCTCCTCTCTTTGTCTAGTTCAGCTCGTACTGAATCACTGCTGGAAAGACAGACTGCTGATGTTTCTGTCTTTGCCTGTTTAGCTCTTGGCATTGCTGGCTTTTGTATGGTCCTCGGGTGGAAGGGAAGAGCGTGCATGTCACCACCCCCCTTGAGTGTCTCTTTGGGAGTAACCTGGTCTTCTTGATTCCCCCAGATGTTAGTAGGCAGGACGAGGCCGAGGGAGAGTTCAGCGAAGGAGAACACTGGTATGGGAACTCCTCAGAGACGCCGTCAGAAGCATCCTATGGGGAAGTCCAGGAGAACTATAAACTGTCCCTGGAGGACCGGATCCAAGAGCAGTCCACATCCCCCGACACCTCCCTGGGCAGCGCTACCCCCAGCAGCCACACGCTGGAGCTGGTGGCACTCGATGGTGAGGTCCTTCGAGACTCGCTGCAGTGCCAAGACCATCTTTCGCCTGGAGTGTCTTCTGTGTGTGACGATGACCCACCTAGTTCCAATAAACCTCTGAGCAGCAACTTGAGGCGGCTGCTGGAGGCCGGGTCCCTTAAACTCGATGCCACGGCCAATGGCAGGGTGGAGTCCCCTGTGAATGTTGGCCCCAGTTTGTCATTTTCCCCGCCCTCCCACCATGCCCAGCAACTCAGTGTCCTGGCCAGGAAGCTGGCAGAGAAGCAGGATCAGAACGACCAATACTCCCCAAGTAACCGTTTCATATGGAATCAAGGTAAGTGGTTGCCAAACTCAACCACCACCTGTGGCCTGTCCCCAGATTCGGCCATCCTCAAACTGAAAGCTGCAGCCAATGCTGTTCTGCAGGACAAGTCCCTGTCCCGGACAGAGGAGAGCCTGAGATTTGAGCCCTTCTCCTCTCCCTTCAGCTCCCAGTCTGCCAGCTCCACTTTGGCAGCTTTGTCTAAGAAAGTGAGTGAGAGAAGTCTGACCCCGGGTCAGGAGCACCCACCTCCAGCCAGCTCTTTCCTGTCACTGGCCTCCATGACCTCCTCTGCAGCCCTTCTGAAAGAAGTGGCCGCCAGGGCCGCGGGTAGCCTCCTGGCTGAGAAGTCATCCTTACTGCCCGACGACCCTCTACCACTGCCGCCTTCTGAGAAGAAGCCAGAAAAAGTCACCCCCCCACCACCACCTCCTCCGCCCGCACAGCCTCAATCCTTGGAATTATTGTTACTTCCAGTTTCCAAGGGCAGAGTCTCCAAGCCCTCCAATTCAGGTATGGAATCTTGTTCAGCCATGGTGCAGGTCGCTGTGACTGTAAACTTCCCCCATGTCTTCCTGTTTGCCTTTTCAGTGGGACTCCCCATCCAAGACGAGGTAGAATCAAAAGGCAAGAACACAACAAAATACTTAAAATGGACAGCATAATAGTCTTTCGTGTGCGCGCTACACAAAGCCTTCACAAACAGCGGTGGTTTTTGAAAAGTAATGAATAATCTTAGCGTCGTGCAGAACTCCCTCTCTTTCATGCACCCCACCCCCACCCCTTTCCAAGTTCGGACTGGGTCCATACCAGATACATTTAATGGGGGAGATCAAAGCGTCTCTGTCAGAGTGCAGGGTGTCCGTGAACACAGACGGGGGAAACGCTGCTTTTGAAATAGTGGACAAGGGGAGGCCCTGCTGCCTCTGTCACAAATGGACTTTTGTCTAGTCAGTGACTGCCCTGCCCTAGTTGATCATAGCACAGACCTGTATGTTAGTATTTTTATTACATTTCTGTGGAACTTAAGCTTTGTTCACCTAAAAATTCTTGTCAAACAGAATGCAAGACTTTCTTGCACATGCTTCACTTTGACCAAATCCATTCAGATATGAAGGACTGTGCGTGTGGCAGTGCCAGATGGTCTTTCCCAGGACAGCACTATCCCAGAGAGCCCTGGCGCTCACAGCCAGATCCTCTGAGGGAGAGGGTTAGTCACTACCATCCACCATGGCTATCCATTTCACGAGCTGATTTGCTTCATAACTGCATTTGTGATAAATCCCTGTTCCTGGGATGGGGTGATTTCAGGTGTTTCTTAAGGATGTCCCGCAAAATGGGAGCGGCGAGTAGGCCATGTCCCCCTCATTATCCAGATAGTCATTGTGTGTGTCCTGGCATCTGTCAATCATTTGCAGCCGCATTGATGAAGTGTGCTCGTGATGGCAGACCCTCAGTGATTAGAGTGAACATCCTGGTCCACATGATGGTATACATGATGCATGGCCATCTAAGTTATCTAATGAGCTGTGTGCCATAATTGTAATCACTTTTAAACCTATGTGGGGTCAGCAGCTTGGCTCTGTAGACAAAGGTGCCTGCCACCAACCCATCCGCCTGAGTCTGGTCTCTGGAACCCTCTTGAATGATGGAGGTAGAACACAGCTCCTGACTGCTGCCATCTGACCTCCATGCACATAGCATACGTATGTCACACACATACACACACACACACACACACACACACACACACACACACACACACACACCCCAGTAAGTGTAAAACAAATAATGGCAACAACAACAAACTTCCGTAAACGAGTTAGGCATGGTGACCTGTCAGTCCAGCGTTCCAAAGGATCGAAGGTTTGAGACCAGGCTGGACTCATAGTAAGACCCTGTCTACAAACAAACAAACAAACAAACAAACAAAAAACCACGCTGAACAGCAGAACAGCCTGAGGACAATGGATAACTGGGACTCTGACTCAAGCGAGGCAAGTGGTTCCCTCCTGAGTTTCTGACCTGTCCTGCGAGTAACCAAAATGCTTATGCACTCTGAGTTTCGCTTCTCCCAACTCCTCACCTTCCTCATGATGAAAAGGACCAAAATGAGGAAGAGTAAAGGGGGCTGGGTAATCCCCGATAGGATAAATCACTTCCGACTCAGAGTCATTTAGTTTAGGGAGCTAAGACTGTATGTAAAATGCAGTTGCATTAATAGTCTCCTTTCTGTCGAGGCAGTTGGCTTCTGAGTGACGTTTATATTATACATCAGTCTGGGCATCAGTTACTTGGAGAAGCTTCTCTACCTTGAGGAGTGAAAGGTAGTTAGTTGACTGGGCTTGGAAAGGAATGACTGATAAGGCCAGTTTCCCGAAGGCACACTGTAGTCCCTTCATTATTTTACAGTGGTCTTAGCTACAAAAGGCAAGAACTGAAAGGGAAGTCAGGAGCATCCAGTGCAAACGGAGTTTTTGTTTGGCTGTAGGATTCTCCGAGGAGAGAGACGTGCTCCCCTTGTGGGTTAGATGTGCCTGGCCTTGCCAGCATCTCTGTGGGCCTTTTGCTAGAATTTAGTGAGGGAGACCTGTAAGAGATATTTACTGTTTCAGTCGTTGAAGGCTCAGACGTTACATGGGAGAGGAAAAGGCAGAAGAATCAGAAGTTCAAGGTCATCCTTGGCTACATAATGAGTTTGAGGTTAGCCTCAGGGGAAAATAAAGAAAAACTGCCCCAAATAAACAAATACCACCCACCTTTCAGCTCTGCAAAGAGACAACAAAATCACACACCACCCTGATTTCAAGAAGGATTTTTTTTTTAAAGCTGTTTCTCAAAATGTTACTAAAAGGGCACATAAAGTTGTCTCGGGAGTTCCAAAGAGCTGTGAGCTAGGGACACTGATCCTGTCTCGAGTAATTTAGACACCAGACATTGCTTTGGCCTTCTTTAGGTCAAGGGAGTCCAGATCATGAAAAAATAGTGTCTTTTAGGTCTGGCTTTCTTCTTTTTTGAGCAGGATTCTGTTGTTGCCAGGTCCTTGAGAGTCCAGCACTCGGTAGCCTTTCCGCCCCTCTGGAGAGATGTGATACTCGAGCGGGAGGCTTCTTTCATGTGACCTGCGCCCCCAGCACATGCTACACGGCTCCTCTGAAAAGGGACACGCTAGAGGGAAGATGATGTCCGTTTGCTATACAGATAAATGTCACACATTGACTCAATTCTCTTTGAAGTCACTGTTCTCTGGCAGCTCAGAATAAAGTAAATGGTTTTGATTTTCAAGACAAAATTTCTTATAGAAGGCCCAGGATGCCAGGCTTCTGCTTAAAGAAATAGCAGGTAGCATTTCAGAGAGAGGGTCTCCAAAACATCATCTTGTACTGACTAAAATTTACATAGACTTCAAAGCAACCTGGCCCCAAGAAGCTGATGGCTAAGGCTCTTTGCAGGGTCAACCCATAAGGATTTTCTGGGCTGCTCTTTCCTTTAGTCTTTATTGGGGTGTTATTAAAATTATTGCAGATGCTTACAAAGTCCAAAGGAGCAGATGACCTCTCCCCACCCTCCCATTAGATCCAGTTGTCACAGCCTCAATCCAGAATGATTTTACATGTACAGACTTGCCTAGGAAACTCGATTTTTAACGAGAATCAAATCTGATGCTGATCTCAAGTGTTTTCAGAGAGATTTAAATGTAGCGTGGCTGTAGATCTCAGACTTCTGTCTTAGTTGTATTCAATGCTTGTTAAGACATGAATTGGTAATGTCACATCCATAACAGTCTTGTTAGCTTTTACTCTCTCCATCCCACCTCTTGTCCGCTGAAATGGCATTTCAGAGACATGCCCAAGAAATTTCGTTTCAAGATTTAAAGTCTGGGCTGGGAGTGTAGCAGGGTTGGTAGAGTGCTTAACTACACGCATGAAGCCTGGGGTTTGATCCCCGGCACCACATTAACTGGGCGTGGTGGGCGTGGTGGTACGTAACTCAAAGCCAGAACTCCAGAGGTGGAGGCAGGAGGGTCAGAAGTTCTAAGTCTCCTGCAGCTGTATGACAAGTCTGCAGGAAGCCGGAGCTACCGGAGACCCTGTCTCACAAATCAACCTCAAGCAAACAAAAAGATTTTCAAAAATCTATATATTGTTAGAAAGGAAGGTTCATCATACACACATATGTACCAGTCAAGATCATAGGTCTGAAGTGTTGGTGATACTGTAAGGTGCATGGGTTATGTGCCTCCAGGGGATCTCCTGGCATCTACAAGCACCATTTCTGTGCATGGTAAGTGCTATGTGCACATTTGCCCAATTGCAAATTATCTTGACTGCCAACACATTGCAGCATAGGATCTAACCAGAAGTGTTTAATTTCAAAGCCTACAAAAACTTGAATTTGTTTTACTAATACCTGAAATAATAAAACCTTCCATGATTTATTAGTTATTATTATTTAGCTCTGTGAAGTTCTGTTTTTATTGCTTTGTGGATTGATATGTTGTCAATAGGGCAAACTGTCAATAGGAAATGAAGAGATGGGCTCTGATCTCAGCCCTGTCTCTGGACAGCTGGACTTCAAGCTCCCCCCTGCCCAGTTCTGTTTCATTATTTGCAAACCAAGATGTTTGGCATTGTCCTAGGACCCTTCCTTTCCTGTTGTCACATCCCTTGTGTTTACTTACTGCTAATTTCCTAACTCTATCCACTAACTCTCAAACAAGCCTTCTTTTTCTCCCTCTTTTTCTTTTCAATTAAATACCTATCTTCTTTCCTTTCAAACCTTCCTGTCAAATCTCCAGTAAGAACGGCTCTGCTCTGTGCAAAACCTGTTCGTTATGATAGTTCAGTGTGTGTCATTCGACTTTACCCGTGATGCGGGTTTCATCCGAGCCGCCCTGAGTTTGCTTTTGGAAGCAGCTGAGCTGAGGTGTGAACACATGAGCACGTATCTGCGTGCCCATCCATTCATCCAGGACCGTTTCTGGGCATACCATGTGAGAGTTGTACACTGCGGCTCCATGCTGGCCCCATCAGGGCTTACCTGCAGCCTGCCTCGTTTCTCCCTTCTATTCCCAGCACTCATTTATTCATTTCTCACCGCGGTCGCAGCCCAGCCCTTTTCACTTAGCTTCATTACGGTCCAGCACGATTACTGAGTCATGTGTGGAAGCTGGCACCCCGAAGCTTTGTTGACACACAGGTAGGGTGCCCCAGCCACACCCCCCTTCCGCCTCGTGCTGCTCCTTCCTCCTCTTCCCCTTTCCATCCTTTTCCCCTGTGGAGCTGTATTTAATCGTCTAAAGCTTGTCTAGGTGAGCTGCACAGTGGGTTCCTGGTGCTTATTTCCTCAGGGCCCCAGCCGCCAAGTTCTGAGCTGTGTATTCACAGCTGTTATTTGCATCTGCTCTGAGGGTGGGCTTTCTGCCTGGGAGGGTGTGTCTCTAGTCCACCGTCCTTCCTCACAGTACAATCTACCACTACTAAGTTCTTCCATTGACTGAGGTTGCCTTCTAGCTCAGTTATTATTGTCTGTAAAGTGAGCGTGTTTTCTCCAGTGGAGCACATTAGCAGTTCTCTGTCCCACTGGGCCTATTAGCATCAGGTGGAATGTTGTTTTGTTAGAAAATGATATATTTGAGGGGACTTGTTTACTAGGCAGTTGCTAACTAGGTAAAATCACGAACATTGCAGTCTTGGTGCTTCCAGAATATGTAGTTCATCCTGGGGAAGTGATTGTATTTCCCCAGGCTTTAAATCGGAGCAAAAGTTACAGAAAATAGTTTGGCATATGAAAGAAATTGCATTCTCCCTCCCCATCTCTTGTCATTAACAGCATCGTGTACACATGGGATGTGTCCTAAAATGTGAAATTTCTTCCTTGAATAAATAAAAATGCAAATGTCACCAGGAGCTGATAACTGGCACAGTCTGAAAATCTCTCAGTGCATTCTGGTGACTTTTTCATCTGGCTTCTGCCTTCCTTTCCTTCCATGATAGCTTAAAATTCCAAACGAGAGCTGGGGAGGTGGCTCAGCTAAAGAGCTTGGCACACAAGCGTGAGGACCTGAGTTCAATCCCCAGGGCCCACGTAAAAGTGTGTACCTTTGTAACGCCAGTGCCAGGCAGGCTAAGACAGGCAGATCTGAGAGTCAGTGCTCAGCCACTCTATTGACTGGGCTAGTCCAGGTTCAGGGAGAGACCTAGTCTCAACAAAATAAGGTGGAGAGTGGCTGGGGAAAACCCCTGGCTTTGATATGTGGCCTCTGCAAGCACACACACACACACACACACACACACACACACACACACACACACACACACACACACACGATACGCACAATTCCAAATAGTTATGAGTGTAGTTATTTTTCCGTCAGTGTCTTCTCATTATTATATTTTTCCCTAGTCTATCCAAGAACACCTAATTTGTACACGATTCATGTGTATTTTGGTACTAATTAAAACTAAGGCAGCATAGTTTCAAGATAAAGTAAGTGGATTTATATGCAGTACTAATATGCAGGGTTTATTAATTTATGCATTATTTATTTATGGAATCAACTGAGTTTCTACATGCCAGGGCTACTTAATGGATGGTACCAGAAAGATTCTGGAGTAAGGAAACGTGTTGCATGCAGTACACTTGAAACTACAGAACTAAGGTGGTGACTGAGACCGGAGGAGCTGTTGGTCACGTAGGCAGTACAAGGTGCTGGGAAATCTGCACCCGGCAGTGTTCTTGGTGCCTTCCTCTGGGGTGCCGTGAAACCTCTGGCCTGTAGCGGAGGGCTCAGCTCTTCTTTCCTTCCTCTGCTCTTCCTCTGTGAAATTAGTTTCTGGTTTCAATAGTGGGAAACACTCCCGTAAGATAGGGACCTGTCACAGCCTGTTTGTGCATGTCCTGCATAGTTCTCTGCTGTTCTTCTGACCTAGAATAGATGTCATTATCATCATTTTCTCTCTCCATTGTATGACAACAATCTCACCTAGAGGCCTGGTCCAGGCCTTTCTCAACCATCTATTGTTCAATATGCAGGCTTTGGGGACCAAGATATCAGTATGGTGGAAACAGTGATGGAGAGGAAAGGTGATGAGAAATTGAGGGTGGGATGAGATCAGCCTAGAGGGTCAACACAGACCAAGGGAAGCTCTGGGCATGCATGAGTGAGTGAGAGGGGCCTGTCCAAGGTGTTTTTTTTTAGAGTCGGAGCAATACCCAGTGTCCACACCTGTTGCCAATCAGCACAGCAGAAGTTGACTGTCCAATGTTGAAGGCATATTTTCAGTTAGAGGATGCTGTTTCTAGCTGCTTGGTTAAGCCAACCAGTGTCACTTATACCTGTATGAGTAAAATTACATTTTTTGGATCTCCTAACCTTATTTCAGAGCCTTTCTGGTTCCATCCGTTTTAAGTGGCTCTTGGCATGTAGAAACAGAGTTGACTCAATGAATAAATAATGAGATTATCTTAAAGTATGCACTTGGGAATGTTTCCTTTGAAAATCACAGAAGTAATGTTTGTATTTAAAGGTTCAAATAGTACAGAATGATGGGAAGGGAACACATGCGTTCCCCCACTCCATGCACCCCAGCTCCTTCCTCTTAGCCACAGTTCTACTGTTTTTGCTGTTTAGAGGTGTCTGGAGTGTGAGTCTAGAACATTCTCATGCAGTAAAAAGATATCAGGGTTTGTTTGTTGTTGCTAGCTTCGTATAATCATGCTCTTCTTCCCACCTCCCCGTTTTCTTTCTTGCTCTAGCATTTCAAAGCAGAGAACACATCCTGTCTGTTTGCTTGTAAATACTCATAATTTGTACCCACAGTAGGGAGGACCAACACAGTTCCACTCTCCCATCCAGCAGAACCAACCATTGCTGCAGGGTGTGAGGGAGCACGTCTCTCTGATTCCTTTCTGGTCTCAGAAATGTCTCTTCCCAGAGTTTAGTTTACACAGGATCCAAATAAGTTTCACACCTTCCATATTTTTGTTTATCCCTTTTTGTTTTCTTTTAAACCTTAATCCTTTCCCATTTTTGTGTGTGTGTGTGTGTGTGTGTGTGTGTGTGTGTGTGTGTGTGTGTGTAAAAATGTGTGGGAGTGCATGTCAAGGCCAGAGGTCTCTGCTGCATGCTTTCTGATATGCCATCCATGAATTTTTGTCGTAAAAATGTAATCAGGCCTCAAACTAGAAGTTTATCAGAAATAGAAGTAATAATCATAATTTTAGAAAGCCGAAAATGCTGTGGGGATGCCGTCAGTCCTAGAGCATGGGGGATTCCTCAGGACGAATGACCCAGTTTCTTTCAACATAAAAGGCAATGAATGGAGGGGCCTCAGTCTGTAAAGTGCTTCCTCTGAAGCATGAGAACCCAAGTTGGGATCCCAGCACTCATGTAAAAGCCGGGCGTGGCAGTGCACACCTATAATTTCATTGCTGGAAAAGCAGAGGTGGAGGACCCCTGCAGCTCACTGGCTAGTCAGCCAGGACAGCGAGTTTCAAATAAATAAAATAAAAATGGAAAGAAATTGGGGATGTATCTCAGTGGCAGAGGAGGCCTAGGTTCAATCCTAGGGCCACACACACGCACACGCACACGCACACGCACACACACACACAGATAGACGCACACATGCACACACAGACATACAGACATGTACACAGACAGACATGCACACAGGCACACACACACAGAGACACACAGATAGACACACATGCTCGTACACAGCAGACACACACAGACACATGCACACAAAGACAGGTAGACACATGTACACAGATAGACACACAGGCACACACACACACACACACACCCTTTAACTGCACCCATTTTTACTTCCCACTCCACCGAATTGTAGAGGTTAGTTGATGGGTCAGCAATTCCACAGTAGTGTCTGGACAGACACTTCCTTGTGGGGATGGTGCAGGAGATGGGTCCGAGCTGCACTTAGAGGAAGCAGTCGGTTTGCTTGCTTCCCTGAAAACTGGAAGTGTTTGTGGGGCCTGGTGTGTCCCTTCCTACAGTAGGTAGCCAGGCCCCGTACAGATCAGAGAAAGTCAGTACACATTGTTAGGGGTAAGCAGGGGGACAGACACACAGAAGAGGATTAAAAAAAAAGAAAAAAAAAAAAAAAACCCTGACCTGAGGACCCCCTGATGGCTAAATTGGCAGCCGCCTCTGTCTGCACGAGCCACAGCTAAACAAGTCAGCAGTGGGGAGCTGAGATTCGTCTCCACTGGAGACCAGTGTGTGAGGTTTCTGCTAGTTGTTTGGTTTTCTTTGTGGAACAGTGCATTATTCTTGGTCCCATGCGATTGCCTTTATTTCTCACTCATTTCCAAGTGGGAATTCAGATATTGACTCAGGCTTCTCTGTCTATGGGTGTGTTTGGGGCCAGGCTCGGTTCCTCTTCAGATGTCCTGTCAGTACACAACAGCCTTTGGGAATGAGGCTGTCACAGGCAGGATGACCAGTAGTGGCCAGATGGAACCCAATGGAAGTGACTCACTGAATGTGGGTTTCTTCCCAAAGAAAAGTGGCCTTAAAACTTTCCCCATGCTTATAATCTTAGAATTGCCAAAGCGGGTGGCATCAGTTGTTTGTGGTGCTTTTTAATATAGTGATCCATGCACATTACAGTCAGGTGCAGTGTGCCTTTTTGTTTTCCTTAATGTTACCTTTTTTTCCTCCCTCTTCCAAGCCCCAGAAGAAGAGAGCGGGAAGCCTTTCCAGTGTCCAATATGTGGTTTGGTTATAAAAAGGAAGAGTTACTGGAAGCGGCATATGGTGATTCACACAGGTTTAAAAAGTCACCAGTGTCCGCTCTGTCCATTCCGGTGTGCTCGCAAGGACAATCTCAAATCCCACATGAAGGTAAGCCAGTTGTGGATGGGATGATGGGCCGCTTCTGTTACCCACTGCAGCAGGCTGCTTGGCCAACGGGGGCACTGTGGAGGAGCAGGCCCAAGAACACTAGCACTGGGTTGTGAGGAGAATGGAGAGGGTCATCCTCGAGGAAGACCCTCAGTCTTAGGATCAGGTTCTTGAGACTGTCAGTGCATGGTGACGCCAAACATCCTAGGACATCATTTTCTTATTTTTGTTTTTTGAGACAAGATTTCTCTGTGTAGCCCTGTCTGTCTTGGAACTCACTCTAGACCAGGCTGGCCTCGAACTCAAAGGTCCGCCTGCCTCTACCTCTTGAATGCTGGGATTAAAGGTGTGCGCCACCACAGCCTGGGTTACTCATTTTCAATCTCCTATTAAAAACAATTGTGGGGTCTGGGGAGGGCTCCGCAGTTAATCTCTTGACAGGTTAGCATGAGACCCAGTTCTTATTCCCAGAAACCACTGCAAGTGGTGGGTAGAGGGTAGCCCATTCCTTGCAGTCTCACCCTTAGAAGGGGAGACAGGATTTCCCAGAGCAAGCTGGATAGATAAGGCGAGCCTTATCAGCTAGCTCTGGTTTGATTGAAAAGTTTGCTTCAGTGAATAAAGTAGATGAGTGATCAGGGATCCTGATCTAGGGCTTCTACATTTAAGTGTACACATGTGCACATGTGTGTACAAACATGCCTGTGTACACCCATATACATGCAAACATACATACACACATGGATACCATACACATGAAAAACGGAAAAAGAAGAAAACAACAAAAACCACTAGGAAGCTTATACCTACCATACTTCTGTGGAGAACTAACTAGAATCCATGTTTGAAAATGAGGGAAACTTGGCAATATAGAAATAACTCTTTTATACTGAGGTTTTGTTTCAGCTTCAGGGCATGGGGGAGGGGGGAACTCATGAGGTCACAAGAGCTTGACGATTTGAATTCGACAAAGACCTGAGTTGAAATCCTCCCAGTACTGTGCTAACCAAATAGGCTTGGGCGAGTCACCATAAGACTCTCAGTTTTCCCTTCTACGAAATGGGAAGGAGCAGGTGCAGACGTCCTTAGTGTTTCGGGAGACAGAAGTGGCCACGTGCCTGACCTAAGGAGTTCATAATCGTCACCCGGCATCTTAATGTACCGATAACTCCCAATGCGACTTAGACATGACATTATGTATGAAGTGTCTCTACTCCCGGGAGAAGTCCAGTGATATCTGCTTATGTTGAAATCTTGCCTTTGAATCTTTTTGTGTAGATCAGTCATTGCCCAGAACTGAAGCTCTAGACGGGGCAGTCACACGAGATTTCTACTCACTGTAGCAAATAGCTCAGAAGATTGAAAGAAGTGAATGCATGATGTCATCTGCTTTCTCTCACTTGCCTTTTCCCCCTGGGGTCAGGAGCTCCATCTTCAGGATTCATTTAAGTAGGAGTCCGGTTGACTGACTTTTACGGAGGCTACTTGGTTTCTACCTTAGCCCTCCTCATCTCACTCAGTCTCCTCCAGGTGAAACCTCCCACTTTGAACCTGCAGCGTTGAGACTTCACAAGGAATGCCTTTTTAAAACCAGACCTTGCTTTAGCAACTGTGTCCTAAGCTGTGTTTAGAAATCAGGTCTGGTGAATTTCAAGCCTCAGCGAGCAGAAAACTTGCATCTACCCTGACACCTTGTAAACTTGGTTTCAGCTCAGGGTCACTTAAAACAACCTATTTATAAACCCACGGAAAAAAGGCTGGGTTTCAGTAGCTGGGGCTGCTGACCCGACGCTCCAGGGAGATGAGCTCGAGCCTTGGTGACAGAGGCAGATGGCCACGACAGTGCTGCGGATGAGAGCTACCCGGGCTCGGCGGGTCGCGGGGTCCTGCGTGCTTTCAGAACAAATCAATAACCACTACAGGAAAGCAGTTGTGTGGAATCGCCACTTTATTCAAACTCATGGTGTCCTAACCTGTTGAGCTGTGACTCCTTTTATGGGGAACTGTGAGAGGTGCTTATGCAAGTTTAATTTGATCAAAGGCGTACCTGCTTGTCCCTGTTCCCCTCCTCCTATTGGCCTTAAAACATTTTTTAATCGAATATAATTGAACTTTGCAAACTTTGGCAAGCGTTTTCTCCATAGAAATGTTATGGTGTGGTCTTATGCATATACATATTCTGTTTCCTTTACCAGAGGCTGCAAATGTGGATAATTTTTCTAGAATGAATTTTATGTGAGAAGTAGGGCAGTCTAGCCAAAGGTTAAGATCTGACTTTAGCTTAGTGAGAGTTCATGGCTTAGAACCCGAGAGCATTTAGTAGTATGGTTGAAACCCTCTAAACCTCCGTTACCACTAATGGAGAGACAAATGTGGTCCTTCTCACCTGGTAAGAGTTAAATGAGATCGTTTGCATAGAACCTTCATACAGAGCCCAGTGTGGAGAAGCAACCGTCAGTAAATACAGCTAATACAGTAATCGTTATCCAAAAGCCATCTGAAAATACATTAACAATTACATTTAGGGATAATGGATAAAATGCTAGAAGAAATTACTCCAAAATAAGTTTTATGTCTTCCTTCTTTTTATGATCTATCTTTAGTACTGAGAATTTATAAAAACTGATACAAAGAATATGAAATTGGCCGTTTATCTCATCCCGAAGAAGTAGCCATTATCTTCAGGATATATAATATGCTATATTGATTACATTGGTTTATGTCAGCAAAACAGAGATTCCACTCCATTCAACAAATTCTGAACTTACTGTGTTCCTCACAGGCTTGGGCACTGTACATTTTTCTTTTGCAAGCCTGCATTTCCTCCATAATACATTGTGCAAATGTCTTTATGACCAGCTGCACGAGGAACTTGAAAATGCCTCCAGCATCCTCAGGGTTATCTTAGATTTCCTGAAGTCTTCTGCAGCTTTCTCTAGTGAGGAGCAGGCAGGAGTTGTCTGTGAGATTCAGAAGCTAAACCGAGCGGGAAAGGAAAAGAGGGTCATGAAGACAGAGGACACTGATGACGTAACGGAGGGAGACTGGGCCTGAGGTCACACGTGAGTTCTGCCCTTCCGAGGTCACCATTTAGAGAGCTGGGACCACTCACGAGACCCTCACCTGCCTAGCCTGGTCCCCTAAGAGGTTGGGTATAGATTCTCTCCAGAATTTCTCCAAGTCTTGAAATACTTCAACCCAGGTGTCCCACATTTACTTACCCAGGAGGTGGCCTTGATGCCACATTACCTGGTCAGTGAGTCCCTTGCTACCGGCCAGCATTTCTTATCATTAGAGGTCTAAGAGGGATTTCAAAGCATGTGTTGGTCTAAAGGGAATCAAAATTATAACAGAAAAGCCCTCTTCTGTCGGGAGAGGAGGGCCATGCTGCCGTTGGCCACATGTAAGCCGAATCCCAGGTGGGAAGGTGTAGCTCAAATAAAATTACAAGTGCCAAAGTGAACCCAATTCTGTTTTGCCCATCAACTTGACACTAATTTTCCTAAAACTAAGCACAGCAAGGCCAGGTTGAGGTGGAAAAGGAGCCATGAGAAGTCGTCTTGCACACAGTGCCCCTTTTCAGCATCCCCCCACCCCCTCGGTTTTGGAACCTGGGCTCTCCTCTGTGCCATTCTTTATTCCAGCGTGGCTTTTAGAGCTTGAGTTAGCTCCTCTCTGGGGTCAGGAGATGTGAGCACACTTCTGAGATGGAATCCGCCCGTGGCACCAGGCTCGGGGACACAGAAGCTTCCCGCCCAGTGACCTTTACCGCCTTGGGCACGCCCGGGCAGATACCTGTCAGGAGCCCTGGAGACTGTGTCCTGAGACCTCCAAGGGGCTCTTCCTGAGTGACCTGGGCTGAGGAGCTGGTGGGAAGGGGCTTTGCTGCAGGAGGGACTGGTCATTTCCTCACCTCCGCCCTCTGCTGGGGTGCAGGAGAACCCTTTTATGGGCAGGACCCTGTCACAATTGCATTTAAGCTTTTGTGGTTGTTTCTGTTGAGAAACAGGCCTTGAGGAGCCCGGAATATCTTTTGTTGTTTTTTGCAGAAAGCCACAGTGGGGTGCTGTGGCAGCGGGATCTCACGATTAACTTTTAATTTCTTTGCTTTTGTTGGTCACTTAACATTATTTAAAGTGTGTTTTGGCTGGTGAAGAATGCTTTTGGATTTCATTCAGAAGGCATAAACAGCTGTAGTAAAACTTGCTCTCTTGGAAATGAGACCTGAGCGAAGTGGCCAGGTGGTACCGAGCGAGGATGAGCAAATGAGCCTTTAGCTTCACTGAGACCCAGGTTCAAACCCCAGTCGGCTCACCCCGACCTGTGGAGCGTCCGTTTTGTTTTGAGTGCCAATTGCTTACGTTCTTGTTTGTCCAGATCACACGACTCCCCCAAACCATTTGGCGTAGATCTACACCACTGGCAGTTCCTACTCGAGGGAGGGCCAGTCCTGAAATAGCAGGGTGTAACAGGTCAGTCCTGAAGCACGTTGGCGAGATGAATGGGGAAGTCACAAGTTTATGAATACCTGCCAGCTCGAAGCCTGGCTCGGGCCAATGCAATGATTTCCTCACTTCTTCAAGCACTAAATTTGGTAGTGACAGGAAGAGAGAAGTTTCTCGCCATTTTTACAGGTCCTGGGTACAGGCAGGTGTGGAGCTGGGCGTGCAAGCCTGTCCCCACTCTTTAGACCCTGTAGTGCCGTTTGAGCTTGGCGTCCTGCCCAGATGGTTTTTCTCCTGTCTTCCTTTCTTCATGTGGAACTGGGTTCAAGATACTTCTTGGGGGTGGGGGTGTTCCGTCTCCCCATCTGTGAAGCTGCAATACCCTGGAGACATATTTTTTTCTCCATTTTGTTGGCAAAGCGGCAGATTCTCTGGATTGTTGTCACAAGAATTTCAGGAAAGGTTATGTCTTTTGGTCCCCGACTGGTGACTGCACAAGTTCAGAAGGTACATCAAGTGAGATCATGTGACTAGCTTATTAGAAAGCTTCTACCCAAGACAGCATCGAGGCTGTCAGGATAGGCTCTTAACCTCCACGGGCCCACTTCGTGTTTCAGGAGAGACTTTATTTTGCCTAGTGCACCGTTGTGAACATCCTCTCTGGTGCTTTTCTCCCCTGACCCTGTGTGGGGTGTGGGACTTACTGAGGAACGGACAGCCGCAGACAGACGTCTTCCATAAGCTCGTGGTGACCAGTTCAACTCTTCTTGCTTCTCCGGCAGGTTCATCAGCACCAGGACCGGGGAGAGACCTTTCAGTGCCAGCTGTGCCCCTTCACTTCCTCACGCCACTTCAGCCTGAAACTGCACATGCGCTGCCATCAGCACTTCCTGAGGACAGAGGCCAAGGTGAAGGAGGAGATCCCAGACCCAGATGTCAAGGGATCTCCCCACCTCAGTGACAGTGGCTGCCTGGGGCAGCAGAGGGAAGGAGGAGGGACAGAGCTAGTGGGGACCGTGATGACGTCTAATACTCCAGAGAGGACTGGCCAGGGTGGGGCTGGCGTTGCACCTTTGCTGGTGAAGGAGGAGCCCAAGGAAGATAACGGCCTGCCCGCCTCCTTTACCCTGAATGCTGCCGACAGGCCCGCCAACCACACAAAGCTGAAAGACCCCACCGAGTATGTGTCCAACAGTGCGGCAGCATTGTTCAGCCAGGACATCTCGGTTAAGATGGCCTCCGATTTTCTCATGAAGCTGTCAGGTACTTGCATAGGGTTGTGTTCTCTCTTTTCTCATCTGTTCAATAAGATGGTAGGGCTAGGTGACTGCAAGGTTCCTTGAGCTCTAATGCTTCATACTCTGGAACGTTTTCTTTTTCCTTCCCTCTTTCCTTTACCCCGCCCCTTCCTTTTTTTATGTTTTGTTTTGGTACTTCTTTGAAAACAAGCATTACTTCTGCTTGGGTCTGGAAACAATAGGGATTGCCCCTCTCCTGTCCTTACTGGGCTCTTCCTGGGGGAGTCGGGGGTAATCTAGGTTTGTGTCCTTGCTTCCTACAACCTTGGGTCTCAGTTCTCTTCCTTGCTTTGCTCTGTGTCTCTGAGGTGCGTCTATGTGCGTCGCCCTTTTTGATATTCAGGGTCTTTACTGTTTTAATTGCAAAGCTTTTTGAAGAACATAATCAAAGTCTACCATGAGGAATTACAGACTTCCCTTAGACAGAGGTTCAAGGTTATCGTGAGTTTTCCTCAGGATCTTTGTGTTGGGGTAAAGCATACTTACACTATCCCGGTTTAGACATTTTATGGGTGTGCATTTTAGTGCATCTACAGTGTTGTGTGACCATCTCTGGAAATATGTCACACTCTCAAACTGTATCATTCAATGACAGAGTTTCTGCCAGCCCCTCCCCAGCCTCCACTAGCCACTGTTTCACCTTCGGTCTCTATGAACTTAACCATTGTAAGCAGCCCAGTAAAGTGGAAGTTAAGAAAAAATTTCAAGCATCCTTCCCAATTGCCCTAATGCCCTTTGAAGAGAGGCTGATGTATAAGTTATAAAAATATGTCTTGCTAATAGACACTGTTTTCCATTGCCAACACATTGTACATGTTTTTACTTTTCAATGACTTTGATGAGCTAGCATGTTGCACTGGGGTGGAGCATTGGTAGATGTTTTTCTTACTCTCGTGGAGCATTAACACACATAGGCCTATGCTGTTTTTGAAAATATGATTTTAAATTTTAAAGGCATTGTAGAGGGTGGAGAAAGGTCGGTTGAGAATGGGTTCTGTCTGTCAGTGAAGGTGGCAGTCCCCAGGATGATTTCCAAATGCCATTTCAGCTCTCTGGAGATTGACAATACCCTTTAAATGGAGAATAATTGGTCACCGCCTTCCTTTAAATGGACCATGCGTCGTATTTCACTAAATGTCATTGCCAGGTGAATGAGAGGCTCAGCTTCACTCTGAAGTCCCTTTGCACCGTGACACTTCAGTCGGGTCTTTCGGAATGTACCTCCTCACCCTGATCTTTGCCCCTCAGCAGTGGGAGACATGAGTAGGGTGACAGAAGAGAGAAGGGATGAAAAATGAGGCATCCAGGAAATGATCCAAGACGGAAGGGAGCAGGGGAGGTTATAGGATGTGCTGTAACACTGAAGAAGCTCCGCTGCCTGGACCAGTCTCAGGCATTTATTTCATCTGGCCTAGCTTCACGTTCCTCATCTTCTTGTTTCTCCCTTTTCATCTCAGCCTCGGGGAAGACAGGATTCTACATACTCAGAGTTTTAGATTTAATTTTTCACTCAAAATATGAGGGGAAATGGGTGTTTCCCTTGGGCCCTCCGGATCCTTTAGGGTGTCACCTGTAGGGAATCACCTACAATCCCAAGACTTGGGAGAAGGCCAGACTAGAGTGCATGAAACCCTGTCTCCCCAAACCATAACGTAACAATGAAAACAAACAAGGTGTTACCTAGGGGTGGTTCCTTTTCTGGGCTCCTGTAGTGCAGTCTCCCAGGAGAAGGATGCCATATTCATTTAGCATAGCTTAGCATGGTAGATGTTTACTTAATGAACAAGTACAAACTGAGTAGGGGTGCATAGCGTGTAGTAAGGTGGGATCCCTTCTACTCAGAATCCAGATCCTTTCAGGGCTGCCTAGCAGGCTTGATCTTGGGCTAAAGCACTGATACAGGGCTCCCGCTGGGCTTAGCTCTGAGCGCTAGCCCTTCCCATCCCACCAGGCACTGGGCTGTGGTTATTAGCTCCAGCGCTTCTCAGTGAGCATGAGAAAAGGCTTCAGCTGCTCAGACTCAGAGCTGTGAACAGCAGAGGCAGAGGGAGAGACCGTTTGTAGGCTGGGGTGAAGCGCTGTATGTCAAAGCCGTATACATAGTGGTCTGTGATTTTCAGTTGTTGGTGGGGGTTGCTTACGGTTTGGCCATGGGAGAATTTACCGACTGATCAATTGGCATAAGAAAACAGATAGCAAAGGCACACTGTTTATGCAAAAGGCCCATGCAGCTATTTTATGGTGGCTTACTAGAGGTCCTGAAACCTGACTTGTATGCACTGTTACCTAGCAACCTGTTATAGAGTCACCAGGGAGTGAGATGCATCGGTAATTTTTTTGTGTGCATATTTGGATGTAAATGTAAACTTGGTGACCGTGGCAGTGCTGCCCACGGGAGGAGAGGTTATGTTCCAAGGAAAGGAATGTGTTTGTCTGCAGATCCCCCACATGCCTGTGTGGTTGGTCCTGGTCTGCTGCTGACTGCTGCGCTTGCCGAGGGCTCCACCTGGCTCTGGTGGCTGTCACTCAGGGACACAGTCCCAGGGTGACTGTTGCTAACTCTCCTTGCCCTCAAATGGTGTGGACTAGTGGTTAGCCCCAGGCCCTGTCCCTTGGTGTCATAATGGCGCCATTGTTCTTGCACTGATTTTTTTCCCCCTTAGGGCTCTGTCCTTGCACCTGCTGGTACGATAGGGTGCAGCTGTTTGTGGGCACCGAGTCTGGGAGTCTCTGTGCCAGTTCACGGTCTGCAAAAACAGAGCGCAGTGACAAATTCAAGCGTGGAGACGTGTACTTGTTTCCAAAGGAGAGAGAGAAAAGACGCTGGATGCTTTTTGCTCCTTCCATTAAGATCAAGCATTAAGCTGACTGCATGGAATCCACTGAGGCTCACAATCACTGGTGGGACGCAGTTTACTCTAACCCAGTGGTTCTCAGCCTGTGGATCATGACCCCTTTGAGGGTCGCATAACAGATATCCTGCATATCAGATTATTTATATTGCAATTCATAACAGCAGCAAAATTACACCTATGAAGTAGCAACCATAATTTTATGGTTGGGGGTCACCACAGCATGAGAACCTGTCTTATAGGGTCCCAGCATTAGGAGGGTTGAGGAACATGGCAACCCTCCCCCAGTTTGGAGGATTCCTGGTCACATGCTTGTGAAGTAAAATCCCTTTTCGGAACCTCCAGCTATTTCCCCCACTGAATCCTGACAACATTCCTCAGTCCTAGACGCGGGCTCACCATCGTGGTTGATTCAGCCCAACTGCTAGCTTAACGCATTGGTGGGAAAAAAATAATTTTTTAGACTTTGCTCCGGGCTTGGGGCTGGGAGGCAGCCCTTCAGGGCGGCAGCTCTGCTGTTTACACAGCTTCTTCCTGGAAGCCAGAAGACATATGCAAATTGTCGGATGGCAGGGTGACCTACCCCTGGTCACATGACTGGGAGTGTTCCTAGGAGAGGTGCTTACTCCGCCTAGGAAGCCACCGCTCCAGCTGACCCTGGGCCTGTCTCCTATGGCTGGCAGCAGTTTGTAACCTCCACAGCAAGTTAGACCTATCTAGGGAGTTTTTGTAAAATGCCAGAGCCCAAAAGTGATGGCTTAATTAATTGGTCTGGGATATGCCCAGACATTGGTATTTTCCTTGCACTCCTCTGGTGGTTCTAAGAGGCAACCAGGACAAAGGTCAGCAGAAGGAGATAGAAAGTGGGCACTGTGGGGCTGGAGACACAGCACAGTCAGTAGAGTGCTTGCCTAGCATGCACCAAGTCCCGGGTTCGATCTCCAGCACCACATAAACTGGAAATAGTGATGCAGACCTGTAATTTCAACACTAGTGAGGTGGAGGCTCAGACGTTTACTCCTCAGCTACATAGAGAATCAAAGACCAGCTTCGACTATATGAGACAGCGTTTCAGAAGAGCCAAATGATCCCCCAAACAAGCAGTGAATAAGCCTAACTTGGTACTTGGTACAGTGTTTTTCAGTATAGATTGGAGTCTCTGAGTGTAGCTCTCCTTTCGTTTTATCTGAGCCCATGAAAAGAGCATGATGCTGTAAGTTGAGTCTGAGACGCCTCTTTGTAGGTCAAGGTTGACATGAAGGGGAGGCCTGAGTGAGTCACATTCATTGACCCTATGATTTTCTTCCAGAGGGCTCATGACAAGAGATGTTGTCCAGTTTGAAAGTCCCCAGAGTAGATCAGAAGCCTCCAAATGCTGGGAGCTAGGGGATTGGGGAGATTCAGTGAAGTGTTGATCCAAGCAAGTCTGAGGACTTGAGTTTAATCCCCAGCACCCAAGTAAGAAGATGGTATGGTGGCACAAAGGAGAGACACAGGTGGATCTCTGGAGTTGACTGGCCAGCTTGTCCTCACTGTCAAGTCCTAAGTATAACGAGAGCCCTTGTCTCAGAAAACAAGGTGGACGGCTCCTAAAAACGACACCCAAGGTTGACATCTGACCCATATGTGTACATATGCACCCTCACACCAACACATACACACAGGAACATATGTCCACACAAAGCTGTGAACATCCTCATCAGAGGACCAAATTACAAGTTGCTTGTGATGGTCTTCTATCATCTTTTTTCTTCAAGATGCCATTTTTCAAGATATAAATTTAATTCTAACTCCCCAAATTATAACCAAGCAGTTAGTTGACAGAAACTTGGCACCTCACTTGTTGGCAAGGGATATCTTTTTGTCCCTGGCTCTCCAAAATAAAAGATATAAGTCATTTCAGCTATTCTTAATCTAGAAACTGACAAAAAAGTTTCGTGCTGTCTCCTGCACCCTACTAGCTCCATAGAATCAACACCAGAATACTTTTAAGTAGGAAAGATGGACCTTCTGAAATACCCACTCAACTTTCAGCCTCGCAGAGACGGTTGGGAGCGAGCAGGCACTAGCTCAAGTGTTTCTGGCGTATCGGTGCCTCAGCCAAAACCAGCGA